GTAACACTGCCGCCGCACAATCAAGAAGATGGGGTCTCGTAACCTTGCGGGGTTGCACATCTTTTTATATTTAAGTCACATATATTTTTATTATACTTAATCATGTGTATCTTAATTCAAATTTGTTTAAATATCTAGTTTTCAAATCAGTAGTATTCTTCTAAAGTTAGAAACTCATTTCAGCTACTGTAGACACTGTTTGCTTAACCTGGAAATCTAGACCAGGTTGGTAACTGATTTGAGGTTGGATATAATGTTCAAGTGGTGTTTGTGTCCACTTGCTTTTGCTAATATGGCATCAGAGTCCTTATTTACTGTTAAAGCCTCTTCGTTAGCCCACGTGCACGGTCGAATTGGAAAGCGTGTTAATGTCTAATTGGCTTTAGGTGTGATCTCAAATGGTGTTCAGGTCCGCTTGCTTTTTCTAACCACTGGCATGATGCATAAATCCTGAGTATATATGATGGGCCTGGAGAGTGAACCTGATGCATAGATCTAAAGTATGATTTAAATTTTTAGAACATGATTCGCACCTGTTTTTATTTAGTATTTACACATATTCATTTTTTCTTTATAGGCATGCCCTGACCTCCAGCTGGAAAACGAAAGGCTTAAATTAGAAAAGAGTCAATTGAGACGTCATGCAAGTCTAGATTATAACATGGTGCTTGCAGAGGAGAATGTAAAATTAAAACTTGAAAATAAGGTACTCACAGTGCAGAATGATGCTTTGTGTGGGAAATTAATCTGTGACAGTGACAAGAAGCTTGCATGAGAATTTGTTGATTAAATTTCAATGAATTTCTCTAGAAATTGTGCTAGTATTTGATCAATATGTTGTATTACCCGAAACTGAAACGATAAATTAAATGGAATTATTTAGGTAACCAAATCGAATCTTGAAGTTAATTTGGTTCGATATCTCAAAGGATAATCATATATCAGATAAAAAATTGTCCATTTTTTATGGTTTTGAACCGACTCACCTAACTCAATCTCCTTCACCTCACTTATAAGCTAAAAGGCTGTTTACTTTAAGCAAAATGCAAAGAAGAGAAGGAGAAAAGTTGATATTATTTCAACAAATTAAATTAAATTTTTAGGCCACCAAATAATTTGATGGATTATAAGAATTTTTTTTCTCTGTAATTCATATAGAAACGCATGGTTTTTTATTTATCCATGGAAAGCAGGTCTCCCATGGTAGAAATACAAAAGTGGATGACACACTTACTAATTATTATTAATTCATACACAGTAACACACATATATGGCAAGCAAAAGCCATGGCCTGCAATTAATTTGCAAGATGTTATTTAGATAGAACCGCGTTTACCGGCAAGAAGGCGAAGCTGGGAGCCTAGATTTTGCTGGAGAAGGAGGCTGGTCTCCTGTCTCAGCTGTGCACACTCCGCTTTAATCTTTTCGAAGTGTTG